TGCTGTATGTACATGGACCCTGTTATGTTGTTACTTTGTTTTTTCCAGTAAACCTTTTTTCTTTTCACTAGCACCTGGGTCTGCAAGCTTGAGTCCTACCACAGTTCTCCCTCACCTTCCTGGTGAGGGGGACCAACCATAACAAAATGTTGCTGCAAGGAACACTTTAGAATGCTGCAAACCAGCAGTCCACTGAAAACGGCACTGCCAGTCTTAGCTTAAATAAATCCAACAACACCTTAAACTATTGTGCTCTGAAGCATTGGTTCTTAACCTAGGGTCAGGGCTGCAACAGCAGGGGGTTTGTGAGAAGATTACAAACAAAAAACTAACTCTGCTACACAAAATTGTCTATCTTTTATTTTTTTATTTTTTACAATATTTGTTAATCTTTTCCTTTATAGTACATTAAGAGGAACTGGAGGAAATCACTCTTCCATTTAACTCTTCACAACTCATGACATATACAGTATCTAAAACAAGTACCTTGTGAGAAGGGGTCGCAAGTAGAATTGTTTGTATTTAGAAGAAAATGTTGGGAACCATCGCCCTAAAGAACCACCATACTAACCAGACAACCCTTGAAAATCCCTGCTTTTGTGTGTGTGCACAAAGTGAAAACCAAAGGTTAAGGCCTTAGTTACTTTAAAATATTCCCATGTATACTGTGCACGGTGCAGAGCAAACACAAGTGAACCTGTGCTGAGATGACTTTCCCAAACATGAAAGGTAGAAGAGGAGTGTGTTTTCTCACCTGTCGTATGCATAGTGCCAGGACTGTACCTTTTTATCTGGATCTGGGATGAGCTCCACTGTGCTCAGCTCTGTTTGTCTTTGGATTTGGAAAGCCTGCCTATGAGCGTCATTCTTTGGGAAATGCAGCTCTTTTGGCAGGTGATGGGCACACACACCTGGACATGTATCTGTGCCCAGATGGAAGCTAGCACAGTGGCAGCTGGTGTGACATCCCCTCAGGACGGCTGAGTCGCCAGAGGAGACCTAGACGGCCAATGTCCTGCTCTGTCGTTCTTATAAAGAATGTCAGCTGGGTGGCAGCTGCAGTTTGCTGGCATGATGGAGCAGCAATAAGGAAAAAAACACCTTTAAACAGAACAAACTACTAGCACTGAAAGTGTATTCTTTCTTATAGCCTTTTTGCGCTATCTAATGTTATATGACAGAACAGACTGGAAAGATTGCATTTAAAATCAAAATATTATCAGAGTAATATTTTAATAGCTTTATATTTTAAAAATCTATCCATCCATCCATCTTAATCTCTTGTCCTTTATCTGTGTGTGGCTCACTGTGTGTGCCTTGTGACTCGTTCACAGTGCCAACACCTCATTAGTACAATATGCAAATGAACTGGCGGAGGGCCAGAGGGTCAGAGCACAAACTGGAGACAGAATAATAGCACAATGGTGCATCTTTTTGTGTTTGTGTGTTTGTGTGTGTGTGTGTCTGTGTGTGTGTGTATATGAGAGGAAATGTGTGTGCAAGTGTCCTCATATGCCTATCTGTGTATGTATATCTGTATTTACCTGTCTTTAAGTGTTTTTGTACTCATACTGAGGAGGCATGGTGCATATGTGTGTGTGTGTGTGTGAGAGGGGAAAAGAAAACAGCTGAAATGGGTCAGCCTACACCTACTGTACATTTAGTGCACTGAAAGCTTCTAAATACCACTGACCCAGTGATCTCTGATTTTGTTTTCTCTTGTTACATTGTAAAATGTCACTGCTGAACAGTGTTTTCTGTCTAATTCTTTTACTGTACCTTCTTGTGGTAGAAATAACAGTACATAAGACGGCAATACCTGATTTATGTCATGCTTGGAATGGGAAGCCTTACCTGGAGGTGATAGAAGCAGATAGAAGCTGAGGCTAATTCAATCATGTTTGGATAAAAATGTTAAATATATGCCAAAATTGTCCTTTGGTATCCTTTAGAGATGAACAGAGCTGGAGGCCAAATCACCCATGACAAATCAAAGGTTGCAGTGAACAATTTAAAGGGAGCATAATATGAAAGAGTTGCTCAGACCTGTCAGTGGCATAGGCTCAGTTTGAAGCATCAGCTTGAGGGCTGCAAATGGTATGATGAACATGTATAATTGACATTAAATCTAAATTTATTATAGCTGTGTCTCAGTGCCCCCTGGCTGTAAAATATGAACTAATTATATCACACTGAAGTCTATATTATATAAAAATGCATTTCATTTAATAAAACACAATGGAGCAATTTGGCATTTTGCCAGGCAAAGCTTCTCCAGCAACTTGTTTGCAACAAAGTGGCCCACACCTGGCATAACAACACTGGTTACCTCAGGTTTCACAGTGCACATAATGAATGACTCACAGAGCACAGGAGAAGGTGGCTCCTTTTGACAGCTTGTATAAAGCTCTCAAGGAGTTATATATTGTATTGTTATGGCATTAGCGATTAAATACCTAAATGAATCATATGATCTTAGTTCACATAATGTAACTGCTATTTCTTCAAGTATACTGTTCTCTAAAGCGGAACTATAATGAAGTTACATTGCTGCACGAATGTATTTGGCAATGCAAGTTAATAAGCATGTCTGACGTGTACACAATCTCGGTGTCCTGAGTCTGTCACGTTAACTAGTAGAGGTAGTTAATTAACACAACATGGTGTCAGAAGTAAATGAGTAAGTAACAAAAAACTAAACAAAACACACACACACACAAAAAGCGAGAGGATGACTGACCACACCCAAAGAGCAGGGGGTGAAGAAAGAGGAGCCAGCGTGCCGCCACAGTTGGCCCCACTAGGCATGTTCAGCTTTAGCAATGCAACAGAATGGCCGAGGTGGATGAAGAGGTTTGAACACTACAGAATAGTGTTGGGACTGGACAAGCAGTCACAAGAGTTTCAGGTAAATGCCTTTACGTATGGTTCCGGGGATGACGCCGAGGACATACTTGAACGTACTACCTTTGTCGGATGAAGAAAAAGTCATACAATGCAGTCACAGCTGTGTTCACTGCACGTTGTGTAAGCAAAAGGAACATCTTTGAAAGAGCTCACTTCAACAGATGGAACCAGGAACCAGGAGAAAGTTTAGAATCTTTTCTAACAGTAGTACACACACTGGCTGAAAACTGTGAATTTGGAGCCCTACAAGAGGAACTAATACGGGACTGAGTTGTGGTCAGAATTGGAGACGTTAAACTATCAGAAAGCCTGCTGACCTAACATTAAGTAAAACTATTACAAGAGTGAAAGTGAGAAAACAGCAGCCAGTTCTCAGAGGCTCAGAACAACAATCAGCACAGGTAGAAGCGATACAGAAAAAACACACAAAGACAGTTACAGCAATGAGAGTTAAAACAAACTCAAAGTCACCTGAATGCAACAGGTGTGGACAGCCAAAGAAGCACTTCAGGACAGAATGCCCTGCCCAATGATGCCAAGTGTAGGAGGTACCACAGAAGGGGGCACTTTGCAAAGAAATGCAGGTCAGCTGGTGGTGTTAATGACATTACAGAAGGTCAAGAAGAGAACAGAGATGAAGTGGATTTTGCTTTTATAGGAGAAATGTACTCTGACAAGGAACAAGAATGGAACGAAACACTTGTGCTTGAATGGAGACAATGGATGGAGTTTTGAAGCTGGACACAGGTGGCACACTGTATGGACCCAGGAAAACACAGACTGGATGTTAAAGAATGGTTTAAAAGTGAATTGAGCATTAACGAGAAGAAAACAAATCAGCATGTCTATGTGGTCAAAGGTTAGATTTATCCCCTACTGGGATTCCCTGCCATAAATGCACTGAAGCTGGTATAGCACATCCATCAGTTGAAGTCCAGCAGGAGAACTTTAAGGCCCTGTACCCAACAGTATTTTCTGCCCTTGGGAAATTAAAGGAGCCTTACAAGATTGAATTGGAGCCAGGAGCTATCCCATATGTGCTGTCAGTGCCATGCAGAGTACCCCTACCCCAGGATAAAGTGTGGGTGGAGAAAGCTATGGGAGTAATATTTAAAGTGACACAACCCACACCCTGGCGCGCCGGAATGGTCACGGCACCAAACACCCGACCAGGAAAGATAAGACTGCATGTGGACATGACTCATCTGAACAAGTGGATCTGGAGAGAGAGAGACACATCCTCCCAGCAATAGACCAAATACTGGCGATGCTGGAGGGAGCAAAGGTATTCACAAAGCTGGATGCAACCTCCAGGTTTGGGCAGAGGAGTGCAGGCTCCTCACAACATTCATCACTCCAGTGTTGTATAAAGTACTCGAATGCCACACTTAAGTAGAAGTACAGATTTTTTGTTAGAAAATGACTCAAGTAAAAGTTAGTCACCCATTAAAATTCTACTTAAGTAAAAGTGTCTAAGTATCTGATATTAACCATACTTGTTATTATCAATATTAGCTTTCTGAAATGTTAATACTTAAGTATTGAAAGTAAAAGTACAAATGTTAATAAAATAGCAAAGTAGTCAGAATTTGGAAAATTACACTTTATTCTGCTGTCAAAATATAAAAAAATAAAAAATCGGCCTTGAAAACTAAATTGTTCTGTACTGAACTGTAGTGTAACACTGTTCCTGTAACATGCACCTTTCCAATGAAGACCTATGACTGACATTTAGCGGCCACACACTCATTTCAAAAGAAAGTATTTCCTTCCCTTTTGTTCCTTCACTGTCCATTTGTCCAATCCCTTCCTCTTTTCCTAAACCCAGTCAGCCCTTCCTTTTAGTCCTTCATTCTTCACGTCCTCCCCCACATTAACAACACAGTCTTTACTTGAAGCTGAAAAATTTGCTGTTTAATCTCAAAAGAAGTTGGTTTTCAAAATTACGAGAATCCAACCTCGTTCTTCTTGGGCTGAAGACAAGACCTGCACAGTTAAACAGCCTAAAGCAGGGCAATGTACAGTATTTGAGAGATCAGGAACAAGATATTACACATGAGCCTATTTATAATGCATTTCCATGACAAGAAAAACCAAAAGCCTACTGTACAAAAAAAAATAAAAAATCGGCCTTGAAAACTAAATTGTTCTGTACTGAACTGTAGTGTAACACTGTTCCCATAACATGCACCTTTCTAATGAAGACCTATGACTGGCATTTAGCGGTCACACACTCATTTCCCATTCAGCAAATTCAAAAGAAAGTACTTCCTTCCCTTTTGTTCTCTCACTGTCCATTTGTCCAATCCCTTCTTCTTTTCCTAAACCCAGCCAGCCCTTCCTTTTAGTCCTTCATTCTTCATGTCCTCCCCCACATTAACAACACAGTCTTTACTTGAAGCTGAAAAATTTGCTGTTTAACCTCAAAAGAAGTTGGTTTTCAAAATTACAAGAATCCAACCTCGCTCTTCTTGGGCTGAAGACAAGAGCTGCACAGCTAAACAGCCTTTCACACGCTGCTGAGGCAGGCAGAGGTGTGTTCAGCTTCACAGACAACTTGCAGACAGCTGGGAAGGATTTCAGCAAGTCCATGTGATCTGCTACACAAGCCAAGTATGCATCCAGTTGTTCGTTTAATGGCAGCTTGACTCTGTCAGGTTTGGTGATCAGCAGGTTAATTGTTGGAAGTAACCACCCCATCTGGATATTTGCTTCTGCTTGCAAAATGTTGGTGGCTTGGGAAACTGGACTCGTTACAGCCGCATACTCTGTGAGGAATGCGATTTCAACTGGACTGAACCTGCAATGAAAACAAAATCAATACTGTTTTATAACAACATAACCATTTCATCTGACTTAACACAACACAATGTAAAACAGTAATTTGTGCTCAAGAAAGTGCAGTAAAACACACCCAAGTTTTAAAGACATTTAAAATATAAGACATACATAATTCTTACTTACATTGGAACATTTAAGCCCGTGCAGATGACTCTGATGGCTGCCTCTCCCTTGTCTCTAATTATCCTGAGAAGTCTTTCCACTGCCTCGAACAAGGAGTTCCACCTTGTGGCATTTGGGCACAGCAGCTGAAGAGAGCGAACATCTTCAACTTTTTCAGCTGCGAGTGTGGATCTTCCACATTTGCTCCACATGGCATTGCACTTGGCAAATGTTGAATGATACAGTTTCTTGTATCCTTCACTCGATACTGCTTTTGCTGCATCAACAGTAGCTATGAGGTTCAGTAAATGACAAGCACAGCACTGGTGCTTCAGGAGCTGGTACTCAAAGCCATCATCTTCATTCAGAAGTGCTGACACTTCCACAAACTCCACATCATTAGCCCCCTCTTGATCCTCTTCTTCCTCTGACCTGTCATCATCAGCATAGTCTCCACTGTTGTTCTCATCTTCCCCAAACACTTGGAAAGCTTTTAGGAAGTTTGTGCCATTGTCTGTTGTGGTTCTGACGATCTTCCCCCGAATTTCAAACTCGGAATGAATGTCATTTAGGGCACTTGCCAGCACATCAAATGTGTGTGAACTTCTAAGCTGCTTGCAGGCTAGGGCAGCTGAACATCTTTTTAGACTGTCAGGGTCAATCCAGCGAGCAGTAACTCCAATGAAGCTCCACCTTCTTGAAGACCAGCAGTCGGTGGTGGTGGAGATATGGTCAACTTCTTTCATGGCTTCAGTCACCATCCGGATGGTGAGTTTTTGAAAGCCAGTATTTCAGTGTCCTTCGCCAGGCATAGGAGGCACTTCATTCGGTATGAGGAATCCTTCACGCCAAGAAATGAAAACATCTCTTGCAGATATGGCCACGGGTGGTCATCTGAGTCTGCTGGAGACGTAGGTGTAGGTGGGCCAGCACCTGTGCTGCTAGATGACGGTGCAGCTTTCATGACAGAGCTTTGGCGAGGAGCCGCTTTCTTGCACCTGTTTACACCAGACAGGCTTTGTACTGTAACCTAACGTCACTGGTTAGAAACCTACTTTACCGTGACTTTGTTTCCTTTTAATTTTGTAGTAAGTAACGAAAGGCAGAGGTGGAAATGTATCGAGTAAAATTACACCTTTTATTTAGGAAATGTAGTGAAGTAAAAGTATAAGTTCACAAAATTTTAAAAACTCAAGTAAAGTACAGATACTCCCAAAAATACTTAAGTACTGTAACGAAGTAGTAATACATGTACTGTAGTGTAAAAGTAGTAATACTTCGTTACATTACACCTCTGCATCACTCCATTCTGGTGATATACATTTAACCACTTGCCATTTGGGATCTCGTCTGCCCCAGAACATTTCCAGCACCGCATGTCACAGATGCTGGAGGAGTGTGAGGGGCTGGTGTGCCATGCTGATGATATTGTCATACAGTGGTTTTCGGCATTAATCCATTCGAAAAAGTCCGACGAAAACCGAATGTACGAAAACTGAAGCAATATTTCCCATAAGAAATAATGTAAATCCAATTAATTTGTTCCAGACACCCAACAATATTAACAAAAAATACATTTTACAGAAAATAACTATATTTTTACATACAGAAAACAGTGAGAAATAAATATAAACGACTAATGAAATGGATTAACATTTAACATCACTTTTACCTTTATTGAAGACTCTTTTTGGCGTATGGAAGACGGCGAGGAGGGGAGAGGGAGGAGGAGAGGTTATTGTTTGGAAGGTGACTCCCCCTCCATAAGGGCTTCATGTATCAAGGCCCTATCGGGGGTTACTTCCCTTCACTCATTTCTTCAGGGAAATGAGTGGCCGAGTCGCGCGAGCAGGCGGACGAGTTTGGTACGGACTAATGACGCTGAACCGACCAATCAACTGTACGAAAACCAAGCGGATGTATGAAAACTGGGACAAAATTTCGACGAAAAAAAGTTATCGAAAACCGAATTGTACCAAAGGCAGGGCATACGAAAACCGAGGTTCCACTGTATATGGAAAGGACACACAACAGCATAATGAGAGACTACATCAGGTACTAAAGAAATCAAAATCAGAGTTATCATGGAGATGCCAGAACCGACAGGAGTGGACTAATAGGAATGGCTAACTACTTGGGAAAGTTTCTGCCACACCTCGCATCCTACACCCACCCCCATAACGATCTGTTCAGCATTACAGAAGCTTAAAACGGAACTGAGCTCACCTTGTGTACTTGCCCCTTACTCACCTACAGCAGAAACCCAATGCCAGATGCCTTGTCCTACAGCCTCAGAGCGGTACTCAGCCAACAACAAACTGATGGAACATGGAGACTGATAGTGTTCATCTCCAGAAGCCTAAGCGAGGCTGAAAAACATTATACACAGATTGAAAGGAGGCTCTGGCAGTCACCTGAGCATGAGAACGGCTTACACCGTACATCCTGGGCCTGAGATTGAAATTAGACCATGATCACAAGCCTTTAGTGCCACTGCTGAGTACAAAGGCATTAGATGAACTCCCACCCAGAGTGCTGAGGTTTCAGCTGAGACTGATGAAGTTCACATTTGACATTGTGCATGTTCCTGGTAAGAGCCTAATAACAGCTGACACCTTGTCAAGGGCCCCTTTAAAACACATCTTCACAAAGGAAGACGAGGATGATGAGGCAGAAGACAAAGTTGTTTAGAGCCTTCCAGCTACATTGCCCAGGTTGAAGGTCATTCAAGAAAAACTAAAAGCTGACCCCCTCTGTGCAAAGCTCATCAAGTATTACAAGACTGAGTGACTGGAAAAACATGCTCTTCCCCCAGAGCTGGGCCTGTATTGGCCAGAGAGAGAAAACCTCACTCTGGCAGGTGAACTTTTGCTCAGAGGGCAATCAATTGTCATTCCTCAGAGCACGAGACAAGAAATCCTCAAAGAACTCCACAGTGGCCATCAGGGTATCGTCAAATGCAGAGCCAGAGCTCGCCAATCTGTATTGTGGCCAGGACTGTCTGTACACATCAGTCAGCACGTACAGAACTGTAATATTTGCTCTATGCACAGAACACAACACAGAGAACCACTGTTGACCACACCAGTACCCGAGAGACCCTGGCAGAGAGTAGGCACAGATCTATTCTTTTGGGAGAGAGACACTTACTTTCTCATGGTGGATTATTTCACACAATTTATACAGGTAGCCCACCTTAATGTGTCCTCTGCTGGCACAGTCATTTCAGCTTTATAGGAAGCGTTTAGCCACCATGGTATACCAGAAACAGTTGTTTCTGATAATGGGCCACAATACAGCGGTGACCTTTCCAAGAAGTATGGATTTACACACATCACTAGCAGTTCAAGATATCCACAGGCGAATGGGGAGGCCGAGTGGGCAGTAGCTACAGTGAAAACACTGTGGAAAGGAGGGGAAGACAAATCAAAAGCATTGACGATATACCGTGCTACGCCTATGGAACGTGGCTGCTCCCCAGCAGAGCTCCTCATGGCAAGACAGCTGTGCACAAACATACCACAGCTCCCAGCAGTCCTACGTCCCCGCTGGCCAAACATCAGAGGACTCTGGAAAGTGGAGAAGCAGGCAAAGGTGAACCAACAACACAACTATAACCTGTGTCATAGAGCCAGGGGCGCCGCTAGCAGTTTTGGGCCTTATGAAATATTTTGAAGTTGGGCCCTCTACCCACAGACTGTGGGCCCCCAAAGTTCGTGGGCCCTTAGAATCGTCCAGGGGAAAATAAGGAAGGGACTGTTATTCATCACACAGCAACACCTAGGTTGTACGTCATACACACAGACGAAGAACCAGTCAGACAAAACTGTACACACATGTGTGTAGTACATGATACACAACCACAGACATCAATTTATCAATTGCAAGATGCAGGGACTTTGTCTGGTATACTGCTCTGAATGTGGGCCACTTTCAGATAATAAAATCATATTTAAAAACTGGTATCCAGCTTACCAGTTACACTCAAACTTAAACTGTAAAGTACTACACCGTACAAAAGCAGTTTAAACTGAGATAAAGGAAGGTGCACAGCTGGTTTTATTTTTTTCTAATAAATTTTTGCAGGTCATAGTAAGAGAAGGACATCTTTCCTACTTCTGTTTTGGCAAAAAAAAGGGAAGCAGAACAAGCTAATCTTCTGAACGGGTTTGATACATTGATTATTTATAACTCAGGAGGCATGTAATATATTCAGACAACTTATTGTAGGGCTTTATAGATAAATAACGTGCAATGATATGTTTTCTTAGCATCAATGATGGCCAACCTACTTTCTGATATAATTCACAATGGTGAGTCTTAAAGGGATCTCCAGTAACAAATCTAATAGCAGCATGATACACTGAGTCCATGGTTTCAGGGATCTGGCAGAGGCATACATATAAATTATATCACCATAGTCTATTACAGATACAATTGTTGCTTATACCAACTGCCTCCTGTGATACTCATCAAAACTAAATGTGTTTCCATACAGAAATGAAAGTCTATGCTTAAACAAAGCAGTTAATTTCTCAAGATACAATTTAAAACTCAGCTTGTCTAACCAAAAGCCAAGATGCAGGGACTTTGTCAATGAAATCACCATTCAGTTCATTTAAATTTGAATTATCAATTTGCCATCACTTTCTAGTATAAAAAAATCATATACTTTGTTTTACAGGAATTGAATGTTAGTTTACGATCAAGAATATGATGTTGAACAATGTTAAAATGAAACTGCAAATGCTGAAAAGCCTGATCAGTGGACGGGGTCACTGTATAAATGGCCATGTCATCTGTATATAAATGCCTAGTACTAATAATTACTTTGGATCCTAGATCATCAAAAAAAACTGAATAAAGTGGGGCCCAAAATGGATCCTTGCAGGAGTCCTCTAGATAATACCCAGAATATTAGACTTAAGACAATCTACTACAACAGCTTGTGATCTATCAGACAAATAATTCCTAAACCATTTTCTCGACTTCTTATCAAATCCAGTATGGCCAAATTTTTTCAAGAGAATGGATAAATCAATAAAAAGCAATCTAGTTTTCTATCCAAAGCCTATGCAATATCACCAGCATCCTTTGAGGCAGCTGTCACAATGCTATGACAAGATCTAAAGCCAAACTGACATGGATTCAGAATACAGTTACTAGTTAAAAAATGTTGTACCTGATTATTAACAAGCCTTTTCGGTGTTTTAGCCAGACAAGAGAGTTTAGATATAGGATTAAAATATTGAGTTCATCTGAGAGCCTCTCTTTATGCAAAGGTACAACATAGGCAGTCTTCCACTGAACAGGAATGCTTTCTGTGAATAACGTCAAATAAAAAATATTAGGAATACATCCCACAGTAAGTGGTGCAGTCAACATTGATTTTTAAATTGTCTTAAATTGTCCACAAAGACAATGTGCAAACCCATGCACATTACTTTTGGAGTGAAGTCATATTAGATTATTACGATGTACTCAACCTACTGACAAGTTAATACAGAGTTTGGTAATTCTGTGTGATTCTTATCAAATTGATCTAGCCTCAACCTGAGCAGAAGTACTGTATTATCAAAGAGAAAAGTGAAAATACCTGTGTGGGGTTTTTAGTATAGTATCTAACCACCCATTGAGTTTATTAGAAAGCAAGCAAACATAACTGAATAGTTGCTGGCGTTCTTATTTATGGCTCCTGCTCTGTACGCTATATTTTACCATGGTAATAATACTGCAGAAATTCTGATCAACAGAGGTCTTACACAGATGTCAGAGCCTGTCATATACTTTAACACTGTCATGCTGACAGAGTGATATTACTATTTTTTTCATTTTAAATGTGTTTAATTTTCCATTTTTATCTTAAATGAATGGGTGTTTGAATAAACCCTGCAGCATCAGTAGCTGCAGCGCTTTGAATGTCAAGTTAAATGTCTGCGGGTTTCCCAGCCGTCCACAGACATGCATGCACAGAGAGAATCCTGTTGATTGGTTTGTCCACAAACCAATGACTGTCCACCCATTTTACAGTCACCATTTTCCATCTTTCTCAGTGTTGTTTTCCATTTCTGATTTTTCTTGTTGCTTCTGTTCACCTGTTTATTTTTGCCATTCGTAAAAAGAAGCCATTATTTCTCCCCCCAGGCGAAAGACGACGATGGCCTCGGTGGGAAATTACCCCTGCACAGCTTTACTCAGGACACGCCCAGGCTTGTCTTCAAGATAAACAGCGATGTGCTTGTAAGGACCATAACTCCTTAACACCAGATAGAGTTAAGCTTGCACAAATATGTTTTGATGTTGTTCTCTGTTAAAAGTATGTCATTTCTTCCCGACATGTCACTGGACTGCTTCATAATTTGGCATTACTGTAAAAATCTGAATCAGATCAAAAAATAAGAGGCAGTATACAAGCAGCCCTCATGTTTTACATAAAATTTGCATACATTTAAATTTGAGTTTTTCATAAAGTTTTTCATGTGTAATCACTTGCTTTGGTCATTTTCATTATACTGTACATCATATTCAATAACTTGTTTTGAGGGACTTGTAAGAACTAGGCAAATGTAAACTCATCTAGAATGAAAGTGGGCAGAATATTGTTACAATGATAATACATTTATGGCGAAACTAAGAATTGTGTGGATTTTTTTTTTTTTATTAACATTTTTAAATAGATAATCCATAATTTAGTGAAGGAAAACAGTTTGGTGGTACCTTCAACACACACAGAAAAAAAAAACAAAATATATTTGACAAAATATACCACCTATATGCTGCTGAAGAGGAACTTGCCATTTTATTACATCTTGGGTCTTATTTTCTTACATCATTTGAATTACTTTTTTTTTGTTATATAAAAACTGTGGTTCAGTGGGTAGAGCAGTTGTCTTCCAACCGGAGGGTTCGAGGTTCAATCTCAGTGCCTGCAGTCCACATGTTGAAGTGTCCTTGGGAAAGACACTGAACCCCCAAGTTGCCCCTGATGGTTAGAGCCATCGGTGAGAGTTGGCGTCACAGATGGCTGCCATCGGTTCTGTACTGGAAACAAATTCCTTGTGTGTGTAACATACTTGGCCAAATAAAGGTGATAATTAGATTATTATTATTATATCTCTAATGATAACACTGAATTGATGTTAGCTGCTGAGGTCTTGGGTTGATTGACATCGCAAACAAGAAGTGAGATGGAGCAAGAAACACAACAACAGCAACAAAAACTATATTAAACCATGTAATTGTATGACAGACTACAGACAAACATCCTGGATCTGTGACCTGCCATACTTGCTGTAGCACTTGGTGCACTCACATTCAGTCATACTTTTAACTAATGAAGTTTAGATAATGTGACTGAACTATCTCGCTGTTGTGTCTTGGCTTAACTGCTGTCTGTCCAAATGTCAGCAATCTGTCTGGTGAATGCAGTGTTATCCTAGATAGGCAGAATCATGGAAAAAGGATCAAGGCAATAATTAACCACAATGTTACTTTAAAGCCACAGTTTGCCATTTTGGGGAATTGCCCTTTTTTGCTTTCTTGCTGAGGGTGTGAGCTAAGAGCATCAACACCATTTTCTTATCTCTAAGCTAAATTTGAAACTACAGCCAGCAGCTGGTTAGCATGCAAATAAAAAACAGAGGAAAACAGATAGTCTTGCTCTGTCTGAATGTAGAAAAGTGCAAAAAGTGAAGTTTTGAGAATTTTATTGTCACCATGAGAGTGCCAGGAAACTGACACTCCAGGGAAAACTGTTACAAGTTGAGAAATACTCCAGTATTTCTTTAGATGTAATTCTAAAACCACAATGCCATTTTTTACACTTTGAATTTTTTTTTTTTTTTTTAGAACTTAAACAAATAAGACATAAGCCTAACCCTAATCCACTGGTAGGTGGATTTTATATCATATTTAGTAAGTGAGAAAATGTTATCAATCTCCATTCTTGCCTCTTCGCAAGATAGCAGCTAAGTGTTTCCCAAAATGTCAAACGTTTCTTAGGCAAATCAGGGGCAGATCAAGAAACTTTTGGAAGAGGTGGCCAGGCTGGGGCAGACAGAGAGGAGTTGCACATTTGAAATACTGTACATGTAAAAGGTCAATATAAGTTCTATGAAATAACAAACAATACATTAAGAATCAAAGCTTATTTTGTGTAAACAGATGCACATAGTGCTTTCTTTAGCTAACTTTGGCTGCATTCCTTATTTTCTCCCTGCCATGGACATCACTGCTGCACAGTAGTTCCACCTCACTGAGGTAAATCATGTTAAGTGCTCCACAACAACACAATCAGAGAAATTAATGCATTCTACATGATATAAAATAAAAATAATCTGACCAATATCAATTATAAAGCTTGAGAAAAATGTTAGTTTAAAGCAACAATTTGTCATTGTTTTTCATTTTTCATTCATTAATACTGACAAACACCACAATTTGATTCTAGCAGGGGTGGCACCAGGGCTTGCCACCCCTTGGGTCTCTCCATGAAGCAAAGGTGTCCCACATAGAAAAGAGAATATGTACCATACAGCAACATGCCTACAGATATATTTTGTTCGTGAAGGTCCAGTCTTTTGCAGTGACATTCTTACAGCTTTAGTTATTTTACTCACTGTGTGTGTGTGTGTGTGTGTGCGCGCGCGCGTGTGCTGTGAAATATAGTACAATTGAGGCTCCACTGGCCAAGTGAGAATGGCCTTTGTATGTCACATACTGTATATAATGACTGATGATAATGGCAGGCTGTGATAAGAGCAGCCTTATAGGGAGTGTCATTCTGGTCCTCGCTGGCTTTTATCTACAACTTGAACTTTTCGTGCTCCCTTCAGGTTTAAATGAAGAATTCAGGTACACATTGTAGTCACTATGAAGCTCTGGAAAAGATCTGAAGGAGATATGTTTCCCCTTTTGTAAGCCAGGTAATTATAACCATTGCAATAGATATTTCAACAGATGAGGCCACTGTAAACTGGCCAGATTCCATAAAAGGAACCAAGAAGAGGGGGAATCAGTGTTAAAGTTTGTAGCTGTTGTCCTCAATAGCTGCACCAGAACATTGTGATTTTGGACAAGCTTTGAACAACACCATTTGAGATAGACTGGTGTGTGGTCTACGCAGTGAGGCTACTCACTGAGGCCAGTCTGACCCTAGAAAAGGCCATAGAGATAAGCATGTCAATGGAAATGGCTGCGCGTGAAGCACAACAGCTAAGTACCTCAACCCAAGTGCATAAGTTGTATACTGAGAACAAAAACAAAGCAGGTGGGAAACCATGTTACAGATGTGGGAAGTCTGGACACGAAGCAACAGAATGCTGGTGTAAGGACCTGGACTGCAGAAAGTGTGGTAAGAAAGGCCACATCGAACAAACCTGTAAAAATAAAAAGACACAGTTGCACCGACAGCCCAGAGAAATGAAGAAAAGTGGTTTCTACAAAAACAAATGTGAACAAGCACGAACAGACTGAAGAGAGTGACAATTCGGATGAGGAGGCTGTACATGTACTGTCTGTCACGGACTGTGATGATGGATATTGGATTATGCCATTGTTGGAGAACAAAATGGTGAGGATGCAAGTGGACACTGGCACACGTGTATCACTGGTCTCAAGGGTTATCCATGAAGAAAAACTGCGACACCTTCCTTTGCAACCAACTAAGCTGAAGTTGAAGACCTACACTGGTCAGTCTGTTCCAGTGTTAGGAAGGGTGAATGTAAAAGTGGAGCACCACAACCAAACAAAGACTTTGCCGCTGTATATTGTTACAGGGAAACACCCTACCTTGGTAGGACGTGGCTGGTTAAGAGAACTGAGACTGAACTGGCAAGAAGTATACCTGCTTAAAGCTAGAGACAGTGATCCACTGCAGGAAATTTTAAACAAACACTCAAAAATTTTGATGGTGAACTTGGCAGTATGAAGGGCATTACGGCAAAAATGGCGGTGAAACCAGAGCGTACACCAAAGTGTTTAAAAGCAAGACCGTTCCCATATTCCATAAGACCAAAAGTGGAGGCAGAACTTGACAAATTGCTAAAGAGTGGAGTGTTGGAACCTGTGACTACAAGTGAGTGGGCTACACCAATTGTCCCAGTCATGAAAAAGGATGGCATGCCAAGGATTTGTGGGCACTTTAAGGTAATGGTGAACCCTGTTTTGGTCACAGAACAATACCCATTACCGCTCATTGATGACCTATTCGCAGGTCTGGCTGGAGCACAGAAATTCAGTAAAGTAGACTTATGCCAGGCATACCTCCAAATGCATGTGGATAAAAATTCACAAGAGCTGTTAACCATTGTGACACACAAAGGACTGTACAGATACAGAAGGCTTCCTTTCGGATGGACTCTCAAGACTTCTGCTGTCAATAACCCATCCTGAGTCAAAACAAGAAGAAATCCTTTATTTCAAAGACGTTCCTTCTGTTCCTTTGACGGCAGTTGATGTAACGAAAAACACACGCACTGACCCGGTCATTGCAGAGGTGATGGAAATCATTTCTCATGGAAGAAGAGGAGAAATGACAGCAGAATTGAAACCCTACATGGTGAGAAGAAATGAACTTACAGTTCAGGCACGTTGCTTGCTGTGGAGTAATCGTACAGATACAGAAGGCTTCCTTTCGGATGGACTCTCAAGACTTCTGCTGTCAATAACCCATCCTGAGTCAAAACAAGAAGAAATCCTTTATTTCAAAGACGTTCCTTCTGTTCCTTTGACGGCAGTTGATGTAACGAAAAACACACGCACTGACCCGGTCATTGCAGAGGTGATGGAAATCATTTCTCATGGAAGAAGAGGAGAAATGACAGCAGAATTGAAACCCTACATGGTGAGAAGAAATGAACTTACAGTTCAGGCACGTTGCTTGCTGTGGAGTAATCGTGTCATTATCCCACCGCCTCTGAGAGACAAGGTGCTAGAAGAACTCCACTGTGAACACTGTGGAACAAGAGCTGTTAACCATTGTGACACACAAAGGACTGTACAGATACAGAAGGCTTCCTTTCGGATGGACTCTCAAGACTTCTGCTGTCAATAACCCATCCTGAGTCAAAACAAGAAGAAATCCTTTATTTCAAAGACGTTCCTTCTGTTCCTTTGACGGCAGTTGATGTAACGAAAAACACACGCACTGACCCGGTCATTGCAGAGGTGATGGAAATCATTTCTCATGGAAGAAGGGGAGAAATGACAGCAGAATTGAAACCCTACATGGTGAGAAGAAA